TGATGCTGCTGTAGGCAAGAGTATTGGATGGGTCAGCATGAGGACTCAAGCTCAAACCCCTAACCCCAGGGTTTAATATTGGGTATGGTCACACACATGCATGTTGCTCCAGTGCTGTGGGAAGTAGAGACAAGAGAATCCCTGGGGCGTGCTGCCTGCCAGCCCAGCTCCAGGTTCAGGGAGAGACCCTGTCTCAGGAGAATAAAGTGGAGAAGGACAGAGCGTGCCTCCCAACTCCTCCTCTGCTCCCCCTCACACACACACACACACACACACACACACACACACACACACACACACACACACACCCCGTATATAAAACAGAAAGTTGGCTCTCATCAGACTAGGAATTTGTGGGTGCTTCGATCTTGGCCATATCAGCCTCCAGAATTCAAAATAAATTTTTCTGTCTGTAGGCCACTCAATGGATGGCATTTCTTATAGCAGCTCAAAAGGACTAAGATGCAAACAGAAGGACTCATGATTGCCATCTGACTAAGTACTTGTAGGGCCCCGGTGCAACACTCCAGATATATGTGTCTTTCTAATCATATTTGGAAACAACAGCACCCGATGTAAAGGGATGTCTAAGTGAGACCACAGGAGGTGAGCAGGCCATGAAGGGGAGTGGGTCATCATGAATGACACCAGCGTCTTATCACACAGACTTAAGAGTAACTTCTCACTTCTGCCATTGGATGACTTGGTGAGAAGATGGCCGCCCATATACCAGAAATCGTGTCTGTATCATATTCAGCCTCTGGGTTTTTATTCTCCAGAACTGTTTGCTGTTTAGGGAAGCTAGTCTACGGTGTTCTCTTAGAATCACACCCATTGGCTTGATATGCGTGGGAAGGAAGCAAGTCTATATTTTTCTTCCTTTTTCCTCTGTTCAGGTTTGCAAGGCTCCTCTGCCAGCTCTCTTGAAAGGCTTCTAGAAGGGTGTGCTATTTGACCAGTCAAATGGCTAAGAAATTGCACCGACACTTAATTCTCAAGAAGAATTGGAGAAAACTCGATTGAAAAAAATACAAACTAGAGCCAGGTGGTAGTGGCTCATGCCTTTGATCCCAGTACTCGGGAGGCAGAGGCAGGCAGATCTCAGTGAATTTGAGACCAGCCTTGTCTACAAGTGAGTTCCAGGACATCCAGGGCTACACAGAGAGACCCTGTCTTTAAAAACGAAAACCAGCTAACTAAACAAACAAACAACAAGCAACCTCCCCCAAAAAAGAACTAGAAATGGAGATAAATGTGGGGTTTTTTTTGTTTTTGTTCTTATAAAAAAACCAAAAACACAATTGTAAAAATTTTCTCAAGTGGGGTCAAAAGCACACTAGTGTTTCTCTGTTGTTGCAAGTTTCTGACTGCAGACTCAGGACAGGATTTGGGCTTCCCTCAGTGGGCTCTTACATCGTCACATCTGCTCTATGTGGAGAATTGCCTTTTTGGGTTGCCATATGACATCATTTGTATGGGTGGTTCCATCAAACATGCTATGGTGCCTGCTTTGGATACTTCTCAGGCAGCCCAAATGTTTCTATTCATCCCTAAGGGCCTCAGGAAGGCTTACAGCAAACTTTCTAGCTGATTAAAAACAAATTCTACAGCCAGTATCCACAACTGTTTGTGTTAGGGATGAGGTAACCATGGAAAATGCAATAAACAAAACAGAAATAGTTCTTGCTCCGTTGTGAACATGTGACCGTGGGCATGCTGCCTCGGGGGAATTTCCTTTCTTTCAGATCTTCTGGTGGACCACAAAATAGGAGCTCACCTGGGTGATTTCAGGCTGGTGTGTGTGTGTGTGTGTGTGTGTGTGTGTGTGTGTGTGTGTGTGTGTGTGTGTGGTGTTTAATGAAGATTTTTTACTGTCTAACAACCAGTACAAACAAAGATTGATTTCTGATTGCTTTGTTCCTCTCGATGCATTTTCTATAAGATCGGAATCTGTGTGTTTCTGTTGTCCAAGAACTGCCCACCCCTGTGTAAATTAGTATTTTCTCTGTGTAGGTTCTCCCTCTCCTGCCCTCCCTGTATTTGGAGACTCAAGAATTTCCCTGTCTTCTGACCACCACAGAGAGACACATCTTAAGGCAGAGTCAGGAAGCTTTCTCAGCCACCACAGAAGTTGCGTCTTCGGCTTATCTTTAGCTGAGTGAGGGTCAAGTCCAGATCTTCTGACTGAAGTAATGGCAACTGATTCCTAACACAAGAACCGCACGTAAACCCACAGGTCATTTGCTTATCCTGCCCAAAATGCTAATGCCTAAAAATTCTAAGACAGTCACAAATTCCTGGCTCCATTGAAGCTGCCATCTCTTGTTTCAGTCCTTACGTCATTGAAAATACTTGCTAACACTTGGGTACTGACAGGGTGACATTCCATGCTCCAGGGTCTGATTGAGGGCTCCTTGACATAGCTATATGAAGTAGGGACTAATTTGAGGTCCCCTTCATGGATAAGAACACTGGAACCCATACTTTTAAGTCACTTACCAAAGTTTGAAGAAGTGTCACTGCCCATTGACATACAGCCCCCATTGAGCCCCATAGCACTGCAAAGCCATTTGACCTCAGCCTTGGTCTCACACGGCATCTTTGAACCCAGACAGTGATTGTGTTCTCATGAAGATATGCAGATAGTAATGGAAATATGCCAGGAAATGAGAAAATATTGGCTTGGATCATCCTGTCCTAGGTATGCTGTGGACACACACACACACACACACACACACACACTTTAATTATCTTGTGAAGAACAGTTACGTTGAATTTCACTTTCCTATGTCACAGTGTCTTAGTAAGATCCCTACTGCTGTGAAAAAACACCATGACCAAAAGCAAAATGGGGAGAAAGCTGATAATTCAAGTCACACTCCATCGTTGATTGAAGTCAGACAGGAGCTGAAGCATCGGCCATGAAGGAATGCCTCTTATGGCTTGCACCTCATAGTTCCATCAGCCGGCTTTCTTATACCATCCAGGACCGAGCAGACGGAGCGCCAGGGGGTGACACCACCCACAACCGGCTTGGCCCTCTCACGTCAATCATCAACCAAGAAAATACCCCACAGGTTTGCCCATAGGCCAATGCCTTCTTCCCAATTAACCCCAGCTTGTGTCAAGTTGATTGAACACACACACACACACACACACACACACACACACACACACACACACAGGGCGCGCAGGGCTATCAAGCAAAGACTCTTCCCACTGGAACTTTTCTCTGACAGTATAGTAAAATACCATCCTATAGAAAACATTCACCTTCCAAACCCCTGTTGGAGCTGCCAATCAGCATTAAGCCTCAAGCTTTGCCATGTCTCTTTTTTCAAAAGGGGGAACAAAAGTCAAGCAGTGTTCCAGACTTTCTCGAGGGAGCACAGTGAGGTGTAGGTGGGTCTGCTCTAGTTACTGCCGGCTCCTGGCTTGGCACACGGGGTCGGACCACACAGCTTTGCTGTGTTCCCCGTGCCTTACAGGAATCACAGTGGAGACCAGCATAGGCTTTGCTGTTCTCGCAGCACTGTTCAAACTATCTGCTGTAGGTTCCCTGAAAGAGCCTATTCTTCCTGCGTCTAACTTGCTGGGGAAGATAATTAGATCTGCTGAAGGACAGCCACAAGCACGATTTCGGCAGAGATACTGAGCAGGAGTTCTCAGCGTTCCTGAGGCGTTTCCTCTTCAACCTTTCCCGCAGAGGGAGGTAGGAGGAGTATTTAAATGAAGTTGAGCCTGGTAAGTTAGCATATTGCAGTAGAAATGCATTCCTCATAGTCTTAAAAGGTTCTTGTCTAATACCTAGTTTTAGTAAAGGAAGATATTTTAATTTAATAAATAAAAGACAAACCCTTGCAGCTTCTTACCTGCAGGCACACGCGCATACACTTACACACACAGAAACGTGCATGTACACACACACACACACACACACACACGCATGCACACACACACACACACTCAGCAGAATTTTTTAAAAAGCAACACAAACAAACAGTGTTTGATCTGTCTTGCTTCAGGGCATTTCATCCTTCAAGAGACCAGGGAAAAACAGCCTCATAACTTTACCACCAAATCTTCCAAATTTATTGAAACACAACATAATGGCAAAATAGTATTTTCTTAGCAGAAGCACTTTTTTATGTTTTTGAACAACCACCGTGGCCAAGAATGCCTGGTTTTGTTTTCACAATAAACTCCAAGAAAATCTTGAATTCCACTCTCGGTTTGGGGACGGCTAGAAATGCTGCGGTTTGGAGCAAAGGATCCTGTCTAATTGTTCAATCCGACCCTCTGTTTAACCTGCGCCTCCGGCGTTTATTTCATGTTTGCACTGGTTCTACACAATCAGGCTTAAAAGAGATTGTTTGTCCTTTCTCCTGGTGCAAAGTCGAGCTACAACGGCGAGGCTAACAATGCCAACCCCTTCTTGAGTTTATCAATGGCAGAAGCATTCAGCTTAAGAAAGCACTGCTATTGTAAACAGCCAATGATTTGCACAAGTAGCCGCATTCTGTGGAGACCTGCCTCAGTGGAGAGAGGTGGAGATTCACTGGGAACCATTTCCTTTCTAGAATCACTGTGCTCATTCCTCATAAGGCTTCTCCTACACTAAGCAATTGCTATAGTGCTACCATATTCCTTATAGGAAACAAGTTGAATTAAAGAAAGCAAGAAAGACGTAAATTACTGAAAGTTTCCACACAAATGCCGCATTTTTCCAACTTACTTTAACCATGATGAAGTTGCTTTAGTGACACAGCAAAAACTTTGTTCTAATAGGAATACCTTAGCATTATTTATTTCTAACACACACAATGTGGTTGTTTACAACCAACTAGCATCTACTTCTATTGCAACCCTCTTTAAATGGAAATTTATCAGCTGGCTAAGGCATTTATTCTTGCTTTTCAATGAAAAGTACTCTTTAATGTTTTTATAACAATGAATGGAAAGTAGCCATAAGTATACCTTTAGTAAGTCATCAGACATACCTTGTTTGAAGAAAGCAGTGTTTTTTTCTCCCTAAACTTTCCACCACAAGGAATGGTTATCCTTTTTTCTTTAAGCCTTTCTGCATCACAAATCCATCCAAATTATTCTAAAGGAGAAGCAAGAGGAGGTCCAGGAACCTTTCTCTTCTCAGGCAAGCAGAGCAAACATTCCTGTCTGCCTCTCAGCCCTTTGGAAAGTGCATTTTGTCACACACACACACACACACACACACACACACACACACACACACACACACACACGCGCGCGCGCCTCTCGTACTGGGTTTAGTGCTGAATTAGGCGGTCCTCTTTCAAATTTCCACTCCCACTTGCTGCTTTTGGGAAAGGATTTCTAAATAATCTTTTCTAACCCAAAGCACACATTCAGTAAGCAAATTCTACAATTAGATATTCGGAGACGCAGAAAAGTCAGATAGGGATTTTAATTTCTTTTTTTGTTGTTGTTGTTGTTTTTTATTTTTTTTTCGAGACAGGGTTTCTCTGTATTGTTTTGGACGGGATTTAGTTTCTTATATTTTTTAAACTGTCCGAGCAGAGACAGTTGATTTTTCCTTCTTTCTTCTTTCTTGAGCACTAATGAACATAGCTGGATTAAGTTGTTTGAAGACAGAAAACAGCAACCACTGCCAAGCTGATTCTACTGGACTCTCCCTTTTGCACCGAAAACACATATTTCCCTTTGTTGTGGAAGCTACTGTTTGTTTTGCTTTGTTTCCATTCTTGCTGCTTAGGGCAAGCTCCATGAAATAATTGAAGTGTAGGCTGCTGGTAACAGGACATGGTAATAACAGTAGGATGTGGACTCTGACTCATGTTTAAAAACAAAACCAAAAAACCCTCCACTTGGATATCTCACCTCATTGGGGCAAACTGCCCATTTTAGTTCCATAGACATTAGTGACATCAACTAAGCCAAAGAGATTTGGTCCCCAAAACATACATAAACATATCTCAGCTTTAAAAACTAAAATCCAACCAAAAAGTAAAATAAGAGCCCATCTGGCAGCGTTCAAGGCTGCACCGTCTATCTGTGTGGTGTGACCGGGTTTCTCCAGCTGGGCAGAGGGTAGCAGAGAGCCTCCTCCAGCTGGGCGTGGGCGCTCAAGCAGTCGGGAAGAGAGCTTCCTCCCATTGCCTTCAGTCCCCCGTCCTGGTCTGCTGGTACTGGGGGTGACTCTCTACTTAATTCTCCTGCTGCCATGCCATTTAGCTTTTCTTTTCTCCTTTCCACTTGTGCCCTGAAGTTAGTTTTTGGTCTTGTTTCTTCTTTCAACAGCTCCTGGCGCCAAGTCTACAGTAGACGAACAGGACAAGCCTTCCCCAGGAAGGTGGGGGATCCTGCTGCTCGTAACAGGGTGGGTTCATCTGAAGCATGCCTAAATGGAGCTAATAAAAATACCGAAGTTGCACCAGGCGGTGGTGACACACGCCTTTAGTCCCAGCACTCAGGAGGCAGGGGCAGGCAGATCTCTGTGAGTTCGAGGTCAGCCTGGTCTACAGAGTGAGTTCCAGGACAACCTCCAAAGCAATACAGAGAAACCCTGTCTCCAAAAACCAAAAACCAACCAATCAACCAAACAAACAAAATACAGGACTTGCAGCTTTTCAGGCACTTTTTCCTGAGAGCGGTGCTTATTATTCACATGTAACATGTTCGTTAATATTTAGAAGACTCTTTAAGGACCAATAAGGTCAGCATCGTTTTACAGGTAAGGAACCTCGGGTTCAGAGAGCATGAGCATTTCCCCAAGGTCTTTCACATATTGGACAAGACCTTGGATTTATATTTAAGGCTTCCTGACTCTCGATCAATGAGGCCGTTTTAATGCTTACAATTGCCTTTTTTGCTACTTTTAAATTTAAATCCTCACGGTGAATAAAGGACAAATAAAATAGAAATATGCTAAAAATGGAAAAACCATGATGTTTGGGGTGAGGGAATTTTTGGAAACAGAAGTGATGGTTGTCCAGTGTTGCAGATGTGATTGGTGCTACTGAAATGTGACCTGAAAACGAGAAAAATTTTACACTAGCAAAACTTATGTAATGTAGTTTTACTGAATTAAAAAGAACAAAATGGAGTAATTCTTTTACAGAGTAACAAAACATTGATTTTAGTAATATCAGCAAAAAAAAAAAAAAAAAAAAGGAATCTAGACTCCATGGCAGACATGCCACTGACGGCAGGGGAATATGGCTCCTCGGGGCAGAAATCCAAAAGCACTTGGTTGAATGCATGCATCCCACTGTGACGCACCAGACTCCTCTCTGTGCATGATGCAGTGAGCTCAGGACCACATGGAGAACTCCGGAACCGGAGCATGAGGGATGCCCGGATGACAGAGAGAACTCCGGAACCCGGTTTAAGGGATGCCCGGATGACAGAGAGAACTCCGGAACCGGAGCAGGAGGGATGCCCGGATGACAGAGAGAACTCCGGAACCCGGTTTAAGGGATGCCCGGATGACAGAGAGAACTCCGGAACCCGTGTGAGGGATGCCCGGATGACAGAGAGAACTCCGGAACCCGGTTTAAGGGATGCCCGGATGACAAAGAGAACTCCGGAACCCGGTTTAAGGGATGCCCGGATGACAGACAACACTCCCGAAGTGAAGGCCTAGAGCTGGCCTTGCACCTCGGTCCCCACAGCGTTCCTTTTTGTAGCTCTCGCTATCATTTCCTTCACGATTTTGCTCAAATGTCAGCCAAGTGAGGCCAGTTAAAATGCCTCATTTTAAATGTCACCGCACTCGGGACATCTCCTTTTCCCCCTCGCTGTTTAATTTTTCTCTTACAGCCCCTGTTGACTTTAATATTTGCACTCAGTTTTGTTTTTGTTGAACACTATGCTACTAAGATAATTACATAGACCCTGGAATGAAGGAGGCTTTATCAGTTTTACTCACAAGTATACGTTCTTGGCTCTTCATTCCAGCGCATACTAAGTATACAATAAGTAGGAACTAAATGCACGATTGGAAATATATTCAATGGTTACCTACAGTGAAGAGAGGACCAGTGGAATAAAAATCACTCGAGAAAAATCCGAGAGTCTTGTGTGAGTCAGTGGTGCTGGGAATACAGTCCAGCCCCCTTACCCGGGCATCTACAGTAGCAACGATGCCTACAACTTAATCAATTTGGAGGCTGTAAGAAGAATCCTCACTTGTTTTTTAGAGTCATGGCATCACAATCCCCAGGTCTAGAGTCTTGAGATTGTTGCTTGCTTGGCACAAGATGAAATATATAATTGAGAAGAACGTGTGCGGCTGGGTGGGGATGTAGCTCAGAGAGTAGAGTTTGCTTAGTGTGTGCCAAGCTCTGGGTTCCCTGGCTAGCACTGCACGAGCTGGGTGTGGTGACAAGAAATTCAATGACAGCTCAGCTACACAGTGAGTTCAAGGCCAGCCTGGGTTACAGAAGGCTCTTCTGGATGGATAGACTTGGGGGCGGAGGGTAAAACTGTGCTGTAAAGTTTCCTCAAGGTTCTGTGCCGTTTGTTACTCACCCCTGGCTGCTTGAAAGCACATATCCTTTCCCAAATCGTTTGTCACTCCATAAAAACATGCTGTCCTAATCTTACATTGTATCCAGAACAAAAAAACCAAACCCTCCAATGACTCTATTGAAACTTTTTATTATTGTCATAAGCAGTGAACTTGATGGCTCTTGAAAACACAGCCTTATTTTTTTCTGTTTTTGCTCCATAGCACTGGAGGCGATCAGAACAGTCTTCACATTACACACCCATTGTTTTATGTGACTTTTAAAAATGCAGGCTGGCAATTTAAAAGTCTATGTAATGAGGCAGCCTTCTCTGATACTCCTGATACTTTTACTGTGTGCAGGTATAAAACACAAGAGTTATACCTTCATAACACAGGCGCACTGAAATATATCTGGCTTTATTGTGTTTGATGCTACATCAATTTTTCATAGAAAGACAATTTGCCTTGAAGTCTTCTCTAACAGCTCTGAGCCTCTCCCTTTGGTGGCTGGAACTCACCGCAGGGATCTGATGCCAGTTCAGTGTCCCAGGGGCAGTGCTGAGTATACACCTTTGAGGTGTCAATCAATGCAAATGGAAAATCTGCTTACCCAATTAACCTTTGTTAAATCTATTGTCATCACTGTTGTCAGAAGCAAAGAGGTTATTATGAGAAAAATATACCTTTCCAAGAAATCAGGAGGAGCGGCAACTTACAGATGTATGGAATAGATGAGCAGAGGAGAACTTTTGCCAAGCAATGTAAAACTATAAGAAAGAGGGTCAGGGTCAGGGCATGGTAAAGGAAAAGCTGGCTGCATATTGAATGTGAGCCACTAATTGTGAGCAAAAGGGAAACTCACTGAAGGAAAGGAGATGACTGGGCATTTGAGTGCATCTTCTTCAGGTCATAAAAGCCAACTTCAAAAGAGGAATGTCGAAAAGATTACTACTCTCAAAGTGGTGCCTGGAAGCCAATGAGTTGGACCCACTGTAAATATTGAACAATAATCTAGGATAAACAGAGAAAAGAATAAGTAAATCCAGGTAAGTCAGTGTGACTTCCATGGCATAAACGAGGTTAAAAGATCTAGTTAGTGGCTGATGGCAGGAACTGGAGGGTTGCCTGCTCATCCCAGCACTGAGCTGCTCTGCTGACCTGGCAGGTCTGCAGAGCATAAAAGCACCTTGTGCTCAGTCAGGGCTCACAATGGGGAGTGGGAGATTACACGCCTCGCGGTTCCCCATTATGCCCAGTAAGCATGTCAAGTCTAAGATGAAAGGCTGATTCACAGAGCATGGCTAAGTGGGGCTCTGCTGACGTACGCTGTGCTCCACTATGCTGAGTGCTTTCTCTCTGTAGGCCATTCGGCAGCTGGAGAATGCATGCTCTATAGTGTCCCTTCCCGTCTGGGGACAGCATGTACCAGAGAAGATCCTCTCATAGCAATGGTAGTGCTGCAAGAGGGTAATAGGAACAAGGGGAGGTTTCTTAGAGCTGGTCTGATGGGTCCAGTTCATCTTTCAGCTAAAATTCCATTATGAGAACAGCATCAAGGGCCTGGGACTAGTAGCCCATGAAGAAGAAATGGCAAAGGCTAGGGGCTGCAGCTCAGTGTTGGAGCACTTAACCAGTTTGTTCTAGATCCTGGGTTGTAGCCCAGAGCTGGTAGAGAACGAGTGGGAGAGAGAGGAGAGGCTTTGG